ACACACACACACACACACACACACACACACACACACACACACACACATCTGTGTAACACATGTTGGTGACAGTGAAGGTCGTGACTGAAAGATGAGTCACTGCAAAACTGCTGATCTGAGCTGAAATACTTGGAAAGTTGTCAGAACATTTTGTGTGAACAATTTATTTCATTATGTTTGACAAACTCTTTAACACAAAAAAAAAAGCCAAACTTCCTTTGAGCTTGTTTAGTTTGTTTAATTTAATGAAAATCATAAAAGTTATTTAAAAATCAGGCTTTTTTTTTTTTGGTTTACTGACGTTCAATTTAAATGAAAAGTGTCAAGTTTCAAGATTTTTATTACGCAGTTTCAATTTTTTTTTCTTTATTCTAAAAAAATATATAATTTGAGGGTTTCAGTAGAGCACCTTGTACAACTTAGAGCATCTTTACTAATCAGCACACCTGCTCTTCATTTGGTGATTACCTCAGTTTGTCTCCTGGTTTCCTTTGTTCAGGACACAGATGCTTCTGTGTTTGCATGTGAGAGAACAAGTAGTTTCCTCTGATTCAAGCTTTTCCTTGTGGAAACTTTTATTTTTATGTTGTTGTAATAAAACCTACTAGTGTCCTCTTCTCATTTTTCTACACATTTAGGTCTTTTTTTTACGACAAATTGTAACAACATAAATGTTCCAATATATTAATTTTGATTGAAAGTGTTAGCTTTTTTAATTCAAAAGTGCACTTGAATGTGCCAGTCAAGCCCAAGCTATCAGAAGGCAAATGTTTGATGTTATTTCCTTAATATTTAACTTTTTTTTTTCATTATACAACCCATTTGATTGCTCAGTTATTTAAGTTCTTAAAGTTCATAGCAGCATACACACTCTGTACAGACGTGAGCTCAATTTAGTTGCATAGAAAACTTGCAAGCTTTGTAGAATGGATTTTATTTTTATTTTTATTGTAGTTTCTAGATTTTTTTCTGGTTTACTAGGACTGTTCAAAGTTAATCCATATCTAATATCTGGGGAGTGGTGGTGAAGAGGTTAGAGAAGATGGGCCTGCGATCAGAAAGTTGCAGGTTCAATTTCCCGGACTGACAACATCAAAATGTGGGTGGAAAAGGTGAAACATCCACACCTGCCTCCACCCTCATTTGCCCCACTCTGGGCCCTTGAGCAAGGCCCATAACCCCCTCCATGTACTCCCAAATAGAAAATGAGCCCTCGTGGCTCCTTGAGACTACCTGTATAAATAAAGTATAAATAAATAAAAATGTAAAAAAAAAAAAAAGTAGTTTTTTGACAAATTATCAACCAGCAATAAAAAAAAAAAAACCCAATTACTCTGTCTCACAATATGTAGAATCAAAGCAGTAAAAGCTTTTTATTGTTTTTTTGTTTGTTTATTTAAACGTATCCTGAAAAGGTTAGTCATGAGTGGCACGGTAGCTCAGTTGGTAGAGCTGCTGCCTCTGAGCGATAAGGTCGCTGTATCAAATCCCAGCTGGTTTCCCTTTCTGAATGGAGTTTGCATGTTCTCTCCGTGCATGCGTGGGTTTTCTCCGGGTACTCCGGTTTCCTCCCACAGATTAAAAACATGCATGTTAGGCTGATTGGTAACTCTAAATTGTCCCTAGGTGTGAGTGAGAGAGTGAATGGTTGTTGGTCTTGTTTGTCTCTGTGTGTCCATGTGAGGGACTGGAGACCTGTCCAGGGTGTCCCCCGCCTCTCGTACAGTGATATGGGCACAAGTGAAAAGGTTTTGAGAAAAGGATAATGGCTGGATGAATGATGGAAGGTTTAGTCATTTTAAAGCAGAGTCATAACAGTCAATAAGCCACAGCAAATGTATTTTTGTGTTTTGTCATAAAGCTTTCTTGAAAAATAACTCCTCATAAATTTCTATTTGATGAGCTGATAGTGAGGAACTTTTAAGTACAACATATTACTGATTTACATCCCGTTTATTTGTTGTGTTTCCCTCAGAGCGTGCAGAACTGCAGGTTCTCAATGCAGCCGTCTCCGGACCCTCATCGATCCGACTCAACTGGAGACTCATTCAGTCTGCGCTGGGGTACCGCCTGGAGTGGAGGGAGGGGGAAGGTCAGATAATCAAATCTACATGGATGTCCAGAATTGCATTTTGTTTCATTTTATTAGTTTCATCGCACAACACAATGAAATACAAGATAAATACAGATTGAAATGTAATGTATCAAATGTTAAATCATAAATAAATAAAGTGCTGTCATCATTGTATGTTCCCATACAACGATGAAATTGGCTCTCTGCATTTAATCTATCGCACCTGAGGTATACCCAGGTGGAACAGTGGGCAGCTATGTAAGTGCCCGGGGAGCAATTTAGGATTGGGTGTCCTGCTCAGAGACACCACGAGGTGTGCAGTGACCAGGGATCGAACCCAGGACCTTTGGGTCCCGAATCAGCTGCCCTGCCCCTACACCATCTCGGCCCCTGGATAAATCATGAAAACAGCATCTATGATACAAAAGACAAGTATAATAAATATAAGTATAAAATGTAGATAATTTATCCGTCTGGTCCTCAAAGTCTCCTCCATTCTTGAAATCAAGGCCTGGCAGTGCTGATTATCATTCTGATCACATATAATTATGAGTGTTTTTTTTTTTTTTTTCAAACAAGGTATGTTTATATCCTAATATCTGTTGTACAGTAGTCCCTCGCTACTTTGCAGTTCGTTTTTCGCGGACTCTCTCTATCGCGATTTTTCAAAATAAGATTGGACATGACACACAATTGGCTGATTGATGGATGAGCCGCGCGATCGGCATGGAATTTTTTATTTAAACTAAAGTATTTAAAATTATTTAGCACCTGTGTGCAGCCCACAGCTGCAGGAGAAGCTTCCTCCTGCAGCATGTCAGATCTCCGCTCTGCAGCGGAGAAGTGGGCGTGGCCGAGAGCACTGGCAGGTGGCAGAGAGCTGAGATCATGACATGCTGTGCTCTTTAAGAGCATTTCGAGTTTTTAGAAAATTGTTAGGGACATTGCAAGAGTGTAGGAAGGGTTTTAAATGCCTTAATATATATCTATATATAAATACCATAGTTCATGATCAATAATCCAGCTATTAATCCAACAATGTTCAGTCAGGTTATCTGGACTGTTTCTTTTTTGTGCTGAGACGTTTTGCCCTCCATCCAGAAGGCTTCATCAGTCTGAGGAAAAGCCAAACAAAACTGATAGTCCCCCTTCTGGATGGTCCCAACCCCCGCAATAAACGAGGGACTACTGTATATCATGGGTTTTGTTACAAGACTGTCTGCAGGGTATTGTAGTGCCGACACATCGTCTTACTTCCTGTTATAAATCCTCTTTAAAAGGTCACATCCTTAAACTCTGCTTCAGTTCAGTTTTTGAGTTATACATTTCTCAGGTTTGACCCTCGGAGCAAAGTTCTTAGCATTTCTAAGATTCTTTGAAAAATGTCCCCATCAGTCACATTTTACTCAAACATAAAAGAAAGCTCTAATAATGTTTTAAAATGAAATGGCTCATTGTTATAAAAATAATCAAATAAACAATAATCGACATAATATTTATTTTCACATTGCTTTAGCAAAAATAATGTAAAATACAGTATGTCAAATGAAAAGTAATGTTTATTTGACTAAATACTGATTCAAAGCTGAAGAAAATGTTGATTTTCTCTAAAAAAAAATAATTATAAGAAATTTGAATTGAAGATGTGGCTCGTTTTGCAGATGTTTTATTTGTTATTTGCATTTTGCATTGCCTGTTGTATGTATATTATTAATTTAAAGTTCATGAATAATTGAAGACATCTATTTTCAACAACTGCTATATTAGAGATAAAATATTAATCCTAAGCAATACAAAGTTACACCTCATAATCTGGATTTTTATCAGTTCAAATTTCCCAGTTTTTATGATGAAACAAAACAAAATAAAACAAAAAGTTATTTGGTTAATTCTTGTGAAAATTACTTAATTTCTACTTAATTTAGTAAAAACAGATTTGAACATCATCTTTTTTTAATTAAAGTCTGAACTGCTGTATCAGACAAGACTCCATTAGTCTAATTTATCATAACCTACTTTACGTGTAGTAGCTTTTCGTTGTTCATAAGGAAACTATTTTTTAATCACATTTGTTTATATTTCAGCTTCTTTATTTACATGAACAGAATGCTTTTTAATATTTACATGTAAAGTGATAAATCTAAAACCTTTAAACCTGAAGTGGTGTTTTCTCCATCAGGAGGGCGTGTTCAGAGCCTGTCCTTTCCTCGAAGCACCACGAGCTACGAGCTGACAGGCCTTCGGCCACAAACAAAATACATCTTCACCTTGTACACGCAGCTTGAAGGGCGGGAGGTGGCCACGCCCGTCTCCACTGAAGGCAGAGGTCAGCCATGAGCTCTGCACAACTTTCAGATGAACTGACGAGTCATGATGTTGTTAAACTCCTTGCACTTCTGAAGAGGATTTGTTAAAGTATATTATATGTCTTTTAAGTACCTTTTTGATTTGATGCTGCAGAGGACCAGCCGGTGGGAAGTGTGTCCAACCTGAGGGTGGTCGAGTCACTGGGAAGCATTGTCAGACTTGGCTGGACGGGTGTAACTGGAGCCACACAGTACCGAATCATCATCCTGAACACGGATGGTACGACGTTTTAATCAATTATTCTGTAGTTCATTGTTATTTGTTTTACAAAAATCCATGAAAAATAATTGTGGCTTCTGTTTCTGCATAATTAATGTCATGTCAGATGGAACAGAAAAACTCCTAACTATTCCTGGAAACCAGACGACCTTTGACCTCAAAGATCTGATAGTCGGAGTGTCGTATGGCGTCAGTGTCACAGCAGAGGTGGGAGAGAATGAGGGCGAACCCGTGACTGTCTACATCAAACCAGGTGAGCCGAGCTGTGTAGGCCTTGTGTGCTCAACTTTATATTACAAAACATGCACGTCCTTACTGTTGCCACATCCTGCATCAATAAATATGGACACTGTGTGTGTGCACGTTTGTATTGTTTTGTTCCAGGGATTTTATGAACAGCTAAAACAAACACAGACTTCTCAGCTTTTTTTTAATCATTGAAAACCTGTAGCCCCCTTCTCCATCTTTGTTTAATTCAGGGTTTTGCAACCTTTATGATCAAAAGAGCCCTTTCTGCCCTTTCGTTCAAAACCTGCTACAATTGCTATTATCAACTGGTGGTCCATGGGCCACTTTAAGTTTGTTAGAGGGAGCTTTTCTGGCCAGTAGGTGTGAAATTATAAAACTAAAAACATCTAATGATTGTTAACATTTATTGATATTTTTACATTTTGAGACAAAAGAAAAGACTGGATTCCATCCATCCATCCATCCATCCGTCCGTCCATCCATTATCTTTACCTGCTCCTTCTTTTTTGGGTCGCGGGAGTTACTGGTGCTCAAATCCAGCAGTCACTGTGTGAGAGGCGGGGGTACACCCTGGACAGGTCACAAGTCCATCACAGAAGACTGGATTCTTGTAAATAAATAAATAAATAAATAAATAAATAAATAAATAAATAAATAAATATTTTATTTTTGCCAATCTTTTAAAAACCTACAACAATGAACAGTGCAAGCATGTGTGACTTTTTTTATATTATTGTAGAGAAATTGAGTGTCCTATTTTGAAGACAACGCGTAAAGGTAAAGTGAGTATAATTTACTCTGTGTTTTATTACTAGTATCCACATATTTGCAAAGGAAAACTGCCAAAACTCATCATTTTTTGTTGTGTGTATAACATCCTATAAAATTCAGTGTCGTGTTAGTTTTGGTCAAAGCTTGAAAGAGCCGCTGCAGAGGAACCAGAGAGCCACATGTGGCTCCAGAGCCACAAGTTGCAGATCCCTTGTTTATGTAAACGCCTGTATTATGCTTGAAAATGCATTTGAAAGATTTAAACAGCATATCAACAATGGCGTTTTGCTTTTTTTGTTGCAGAACAAGAAATAAGGACAGTGAGCAATGTCAGAGTAACCAACGCAAACAGTCGGAGAATTCGAATTGCCTGGGATGGAGTTACTGGTGCAACGGGTTACAGAGTCACCTGGAAACAAGGAAACAGTAAGTCCTGTTTTGTATCGAATATTTTCAGATATTAAACCTTTTTTTTTAAAGGCTCTGAGATATGATATTTGTCTCCACCTAGTTTTGGAGCTTTTGAATACATATCTTGACAAGTATTAAAGTACTTCATGCTCTGCTCTACAGATGCAGAGCAAGCTCGTGTTCTGGGAGCAGAGGCCACAGCTTTCACCATGGACAACCTGCAGCCGGACGAGGCACTGGTAATTGGTGTTGCAGCTGTTGTTGATCAGCGTGTTGGAGAAGAGGTCACGCTGTCTGCACGGACTAACCCCTCCAGTGGAACGTTGTCTGGATTTCGCATCACAGATATCTCGGCACAGAGAATACGCATTGCATGGTCGCCGGTTTTTAGGGCAACAGGATACAAGATCACTTGGCGTCGTGATGATGGTAAAGAAGTAAATCATCCATTAGGAGCATTTCAAATATATAAGCCTTATATAGATTGGTATTGTAAAAGATAAACATTAAGATGCTTCCTGTTTGGTGCAGGACTTGAAACAACTCGTACCGTAGCGTCCAGCGTTTCTTCCTACACTATTGATGGTCTTCAGCCGAACTCAGCCTACACTGTCCAAGTTTCTGCCCTGGCTGGCTCTCGAGAGGGAACTCCTTCCATTCTGAATGTTAGAACAGGTATTTTAAGAAAAAAGCAACTGATGCTTTTCAGAATATCTTTGCTGTGAATAAGTGAGAAATGCTGTATTTGGTTCTGTCATGACCTGCAGAATTAGACCAGTCAGTTGTTGGGACCGTGACATCTTTGCAAGTCCAGGAGACCCTAGGAGAAGTTATCCGAGTCACTTGGGTTGGTGTGCAGGGAGCAACAGCTTATCGCATCTCTTGGAGGAGAACAGATGGTTCGTTTCATTTTAGTTGGCCTATTCATCATGATGCTGTCCTCACAAAGTTTGTGCTCCTTTTCCTCTCTTTTCTTAAATTTTGATCATTCGTCAGATCCAGAGTTATGTCCCAAACAAACTCTGGTCAACCAATAATGTGACCTCACAGTTCAGAAACACTGAGGGCGTTTTGCATGAATGTTTACAAAGCAGTCACACTATTGTGATCTATTTATCTTCCGTACATTTTTTTTTTTTTTTTGGTGTGATTCTTGTCCCACAATTTCCAAGCTATTTTAACAAATCATATCAAAATATTCAGCTCTTTCAGGACAATCCTGTTATGACTTTTGGTATTGGTGCAACTTTAACTTTTTAAAATATTTAACCTTTTCTGACATTTTTTTCTCATAGAAAATGAATTGAGCTCATTTTGCATCCTTCATATCTTTAGATCTGTTTACAACCTTTTACTGCTCCTTTCACATTTTGTTCTGCTTCAGCTTCTTTCAGCTTCCTTGTGCAAAATTAAACATTTTTTCAGCTACTTTCAGCAGTTTTTTCAGCTGTTTTGTTCTTCTTTCAGCTTCTTTTGGCTAACTACAACTTTTTGTGCGTCTTCTAACTTTTTTATGCTAATTTCAACTTGTTATGCTTCTTTCAGCTGATTTCTGCAAGTTTCAACTTTTTCTGCTACTATTTAGTTGTTTCATGCTAATTTAAACTTTGTCATTTAATTCCACTTTTTTTGCATTCAATTCATCTTTTTTCAGCTTAATTGAGCAAAAATGTGCTCTCTCCACTTCCTTGTTGTAATTTCAGTTTCGTTCTGTCTTTTAGCTTATTTTCAGCAGTTTTTTGCTAATTTAATCTTTTTTCAGATAATTTCCAATTTTTCATGCTCATTTCTGCTCCTTTCAACAAACACGTGTTCCTTCTGCTAATTTAAGCTTATTCTACGTTTTCAGCTACTCTATTTTTTTAGCATTTTCAGCTGTTTTCAGATAAATTCAAGTTTTCATGTTAATTTTTGCTACTTTCAGCTTATTTAACTTCTTTCTGTTAATTTCAGCTTGTTATGCTTCTTTCAGCTTTTATTCTGCTAGTAAACCTTTTCCTATTTCAGATAATTTTTAGCTGTTTTCATGCTAAATTAGCTTTTTTTAGCTAATTCCCAATTTTTTAAAACTCATCTCAGTTCTATTCACTTCCTTTTTGTAGTTTAAGCTTCTTTCTTCTTGTTCAGCTAATTTTCAGCATTTTTTTTTGGCTAGATTCAGCTTTTGAAGGTAATTAAAAAAATGTTGTGCTAATTTCTGCTTATTTCAACCTAATTCAGCAAATATGTGTTTTTTCTGCTACATTTCAGCATGTTTTTGTTTTTCAGCAAGTTCTTGATTTGAATTGACTTGACACTGCATTTTTGTAGGAAATGCATTTTCTCGAGTTTTCTTTAAATTCATTTCAGAGTCAGAGTCAGAGTCAGAGTTTCTTTATTGTCATTCGCACCTCATGTGGTACATGTGGTGGAGCGAAATTATGTACACAGGGTCCCAGTTACATCCAACAATAAAATGTATAAGAAAAACAGTAATAACATCTAAGATATGAACTAAGAAAAACATCAACTAAATATACACTAAGCACTCATAACATAAAACATTGAACATCAGCACAAACATGAACATGAGTCTGTGAGCAGATGTGCACGCATGAACACATCAACATTGAAACAGATCAGCAGCAACATGAAACAGATCAGCAGCAACATGATATGGTTTTTCACAGTGATTATTCTAGTTAGAGATTCATGAGTCTAACAGCCTCAGGGTAGAAGCTGTTCCTCAGTCTAGTGGTTCTACACTTAATGCTCCTTAACCTCCTTCCTGAGGGGAAGATTCAGATTCTCTACACGCATTAACTCTCACCTCTTCTCGCTCTCTGACCTTCTCTACACTGCTTCCTGCAACTTTCTCCACTCTACTGCCAAGTTTCTGTCCATACTACTCCGGGCAAAGGTGAAAGTATATTAACTGTAGCTGCCTGACCCTAAACAGACTGGACCAATCTACAGTCCCAGAGCCAGAAAAAGACCAGACTATATGGGCCCCTTTCATGGCAACCATTTTGATTTGAAAAAGTAGAGAAAACACAGGTGGGCATTCAAAACCCACACAGTCGTGTTGATTTCAATCATGATGAAGCCATTCAGATGTATCCCAATTTGTCTGAGCTGTGTCAGTGTCAGGGGTGCCATGGGGGAGGAACATAAAAATGGCAGCCCTCTAATTAAACCCCTACCAGCCAGATTCATCTTCTTGAGTCCTAAGACAGAGAAAATGTGTTGAGTGGCTCTGCCCTAGATTGAACTGGTTATCCGTCCCAGTTAATGATAAGGTGTGGAAAGTCATGTTTGAGTTTTGAGTCATTTCTTTCTTTATGTGTTTAATCCAGTAAAACAGCCGAAAAAAATACAACTCAACTTACTATAAAGTACCTACGCTGAAATTTAGGTTAAGACCTTAAAATATAAAGAAACACATTTAACTGTTAGGAATTGTTTCTGCAGAAAGTGAGTTTGTTCTAACACAACTTCTTGTCTGTTTGTGGTTTGTGTTGTAGGTGGTGAAGAGAGGAGCCAGCTGGTGGGTGGAGATGTGGCAGCAGTGGATCTGGACCAGCTTGACCCTGGAGTTCAGTATGAGGTGCAGGTCAAGGCTTTAGTTCAAAACAGAGAAGGAACCCCTGTTTTTGCCACGATCACCACACGTGAGTCCGTGTTCCTGTACTCAGATGTTACTGCAGTAATACTCAGATGTGTTTCTGATCACCTTCACAAATGTTGAATATTATCAGATATTTTGTAATATAGTCTGAGCATTAAACAATGTGCTGTTGCGGTCTCGTTCTTTAAACAGCTGGTTATAACACCCGGCCTCCCTCACTCCCAACCACGACGCTACGAGCAACAGAAGTTACCCATGATTCTGTGCGGCTTGACTGGGCTTTTGTTCCAGGCACAACAGGGTACATCCTCCAGTGGAAAGAGGAGACGGGTGAGAACAAGTTTTAGATTAAATTCAGACTTTGTTAATGTAGTTGTTATAATTTTATCTGCTAATGTTCATCAGACGTTGGCCGAGGCTTGTCTGTTAGTCTTCCTCCGTCGTCCAGCTCATACCTGGTGACCGGTCTGCGTCTGGGCCGGCGATATAGATTTACCATACAGCCCACTTTTTCAAGCGGACTGGCAGCAGAGACCTTTGTAGATGAACGCACTGGTAACGCACGTCATCTAATCCATCGTACTTTCCACACGCATACACACCTGATAGTTACTATCCAAAGTGTTTCATCCACAGTGTGTCTGGGTGGACGTCTCGATGTGGTGTTTCTGGTGCCTGCTTCTACCGATCGGATTGATCTGGAAAGACCTCTGCGTGAACTCCTCACAAGTGTAGCGGGGTCACTCGCCACTATCGGACCCAGAGACTCACAGGTATTTTTGACTATAAGTCCCAGTTCATCGTGGGTAGTTACAAAGCAGATATCACATTCAACTGATCCATCAATCTAATCATGTACTTTTGTTTTTTTTAAGGTAGGGGTTGTCGTTTATGGCTTCAGACCCAAAATATGGTTCCTGCTCAATCGTCATACCAGATCTGACACGCTGCTCCAAGAAATCCAGTCCACACCCTATGATGAAAGCCCAGGGAGTAACATTGGTCAGCCATTTTTTTCTCTTCTCCGTGACAGTCTCTGTGCAAACACTTGTGTGTTGTAGAAGTCGTGACGCTGAATTTCTCCTCTTCTAGGTGAGGCGGTGACTTTCGCTCGTCAGTACCTGCTGATCCCCTCAGCTGGACGGAGACCCCGGGTGCCTGGTGCTGTCGTCATCATCGCTGACAGAAAGTCTGTCGACAACCTGACCCTCGCAGCCAACAGTCTGAGAACTGCAGGTGTGGAGCAGCTGAACGTCTGGTCAAAGTTTAGAACTATGCAAAAATTAACATAGATGTAACGATCTATCACCGAGTGAGTGAAGTTAGGAGAGTTTAGTTTATGGATATCATCTTAAAAGTTATTCTCTGTTGCTAATAGTAATTTGTGCTTGTGTCACTTGTATTTATGTGAGCTGCAACAACATGTAGGCATTCATTGCTCAAGTTCAAGTATCTTTATTGACATTCGCATCACATGTGGTACATGAGGTGGAATGAAGTTGTGTACTCAGGGTCCCAGTTATGCCCAAAAATAGCAAAAAAAGACAAAGTATAAAAAGAAACAGTATATAAGGATCTAAGATAAACGCTAAACAGTGTGCTAAAGAATCTAAGATATATTCTAAACACTAATAATGTAAATAATACGGTGTAATAAGCAATAGCCCAATTATTTACATTATTAGTGTTGGCGTACATCTTAGATATTTTAGCGTATATCTGAGTGTATATCTTAGATCCTTATATATTGTTTCTATCTAACATCTACACTCCAGTAAGAGCACTCCGGTCTACCAACCAGTTCCTCTTAGATGTCCCCAGATCCAAACTGAAATCCAGACGTGATCGGGCTTTTGCGGTTGCTGCTCCTAAACTGTGGAAGAGTTTACCTGAGAATTTAAAGACCGTTCAGACTGTCGAGACGTTTAAATCTTTGCTTAAGACTCATCTGCATTCCTTGGCATTTGATCCATGCAGAGTCTGAGAACAAATTTTGAGCTGATTTTTATTGTTGTTGTGTATTTACTGTTAACTTTCTTATGTTTTTGAGTGGCACTAGATGCATTTTTTACTCTTTTTATCCGTCTTATCTGTAAAGCACTTTGGTCAGCTTTTGTTGTTTTTATGTGCTATAGAAATAAATTGACATTGACATATTTATACTTTTTCAACATTCAACGTTCAACATTCCTTTAGCCACAAAAACTATAAGAATAACCTTTGCACAATGGATAAACCCGATAGTTTTATAGGCTCATTCAGTTTTTTGCACAGATCTGACCTTCCAGTTTTAAAGTTGATTTCTTTCTAAAAACAAGTAAAATATTTTTGATGTACTTTCCATTTAAACTGAAAATGTGTGCATTTAAAAAAAAAAGTTTACAGTAAAGTTTAATAATTTGTTCACACCAGCACCTTCAGTCCTTCAGTTTATTACACAGGTTTATACAAATTTAAAAACTAATGCCAAACAATAATTACTGTATATTTTGTATAGAAGATGAAATATAGTTCTTTCAATGCATTTTGCACACTTCAAAACATGGTTTTAAAAGCAAAATAAAGTTTTAGATTTTGCTTACCCCCACCCCACACACACACAAATACACTTTTTTATATATATATATATATTTTTTTTTTACAAATTCAGACTTTTGAATGCCAAACTAAAAATTTAGCAGTTCTGGTCTCTAGATAAATAATTGGTGCATTATGTCAAACTAGCTTCAGTAGAATTTTTTTTTTATTATCATTTTATTCTGAATTCTGTCTATTGTCATATTATCCTTATTCTATGATTTAGGCTTCTTTTATGCAGATAAATGTTCTTCAAACGGATCATAAGCCTTTGAAGGTACTTGTTGGACAAATAAGCCCAACAAATACATTGTGTGACTCAGCCGTGTTGGTCTGGATGTGTGTAAGGTGTGACGGTGCTGGCTGTGGCCATAGACCAAGCAGACACGGAGGAGCTGCGTCGAGCTGTGACGGACCGCAGCACCCAGAACATCCTGTATACTCCAGATGCAGCTCAGCTCAACTCACTACATGCTGACTTGGCAGACTTGCTGTGTGGTATCGCCAGAATACCAGAGGTCAGAAATAATCTGGAAAATCTTTTTTTATTATTAGTCATGTCAAAAAGATGCACCACAAATGAAAACTTGCTTTATTCATGCAGAGATTTGTTTATCCTGCTCTGCTTTGTTTAGACGTCTCCAGGATCAGACCAGTGCACCGTCCAGTGTCCTCGGGTGAGTTAAGTTTAGAGATTTAAAATCGGACTCAATTTTTTCTAACGGCAGATTTTCAGTCAGGAAGAAAACAGACTTGTATTATTTTTGCCTAAATGAATGTTTATTGTCACTCGTGTCTTTTAGGGTGAGAAGGGCGACCGTGGTGAGCAGGTAAGGTCACTTCAACACTACAGCAGTGATCGGTGCTTACAAAATGTGCCCCAAAATTGAAACACTAAATTGACTTGTAAATCATTTTATTCACTCACAGAACTGACCAGGGTCTGCTTGTGTGTGCACGTGTGCGCATGCAGTGTTTGTGTGTGCTCTATTAAAATATTTTAGGAACCAGTGGTCAGATTTTATTAAGTAATCATTAGATGTGAACGAACAACTGATGAACTTTTGAAGTCAACTTGATTCCCACCACAGCTAAGTGGCTTCAGCATTTAAAAAAATGCCTTTAACTCTGTCATTTTTCACCTTTTATTTAGTGTGGTAGTAGCTGAGAGTCATTCACAACACATACTTTGAGCACCAACAGCTTTCACAACATCTTTGTTCAAAACTTTTGCATGCAGCTTTCAAGAAATGCTACTTTCAGTAAAAAAGGATGATTGATATTATAGCTATTGTTTTAAAGAAACAAAACTATTATGCTCATTTAATGATTGTGTTTCAGTTTTTTTTTATCCCACAGCTTTCATAAAAGTTAAAACGTTCTTCATGTTTGCGTTTTTTTGGGGGGTTTTTTTGTTCCCCAGGGGGAGAGGGGTAGAGATGGTGCAGATGGACGCAAGGGGGAGCCTGTGAGTCAATTTAGACAGAGACGTTTATCATTCTGTTATTATAAAAATATAAATAGTGCATGATAACAATGTGTTCACTGATGTTTACATGATGAAGGGTCGTGATGGTTTGCCAGGGAGGGAGGGCCCCAGAGGTCCTGAAGGACGACCTGGTCCACCGGGACAGTCAGTCCCCTTCGACCCCTCTCTGGGGGTTAAAGGGGGAAAGGGGGAGAGAGTAAGTACAACTAATTTAAAGTATGCTAACAACACAAACTTGTTAAATTAATGACATCTTTTTGTTTCAGGGTTTTCCTGGTGTTGATGGAAATCCAGGGTTACCGGGACGACCAGGTGCTCCTGGAAATGCAGGTGTCCCAGTAAGTAAAGCTACTAGAATCAACAGACTGCACATTTTTATGTTCTTCATGTAGTGTGAAAGTTACGTCTCTTTTGTCACCCTGTAGGGCTCACAAGGCCTTCCTGGAGTCAGAGGAAGCCCAGTGAGTAATCATCTGACCTGCAGACCACCCAGTTGATGTCTTAACACGGTTTTGAACGTTTTATCTGTCGTTTTAGGGTGAACCAGGTGGACAGGGGCCGCTGGGACCAAAGGGGGATAGAGGTGAAAGGGTGAGATGAAACGTTTCTTGTTCACTGTCGTTTATTTAAATGGCACCAAATCCGAGCAAAAGCTGTTCCCCAGAAAACGAGTTCAGAACAGATCCAGATTCAAATCTAATTACAGTCAATTCAATCCACAAACAGCAAATTGTAAAATACTCATTGTAAAAGTTATCTATGTAAGTAAGCCAGCAGATTTCTTTAAATCTACTTCTGCACAGTCATCCTGAAATAATATTTTAAACTCTATTCTGTATTTGACAGCTAAAATAGGAGAAACATGATCTTTCCTAAGCCTCGGAGTTCTAGCAGCAGCATTTTGGATCAACTGGACATTTAGAAAGTTTTTCAGGCATCCCGATGATAAAGAATTATCTAGCCAAGAAGAGATAAGTCCACTGACCAGTTTTTACCACATAATCTTTGGCCAAGAAATGTCTAATTCTCATAAATTATTGCACAAGTAGAAAAAAGCGGTCCTGGTAAAAAAAAAATTATTATGTTAGTCAAAAGACATATCCTGAACAAAAGTAACACCAAAGTTTTTTACATTAGAACTGAAGGACAAATATATGTCATTCAGAAGACGTGAAGGTTGCAAAGTTTGTTCATGAAACAGTCAGGTTAAAAAAAAAACAACAACACAACTGTATTTTGTCAGAATTTACAAGTAGACATTGAAGAATCATCCAGGTTTTTATGTCTCTAAGACATTCTTGTAATCTAAGTAACTGATTGGCTTCATCATGCCTCGTGGATAAATATGTCATTATATGAGTGTCATTGACAAAACAATTAAAATGTATCTTCTGCTGCCTAATCATTTTAACTAATGGAAGCACATATGAAGTAAAGAGCCCTAGTCAAAGCACTGAACCCTGAGGAACTCCTTGACTTAGTCTAGTACATGAAAATGATACATTGTAACAATGAACAAACTGAAATCTATCATATAAATATGTACAAGTATTACAGTACCCTGAGATGACTTCTGTTGTGATTTGGCATTATATACAGTGCCATGCCATGCCATGCCATGCCATACCATACCATACCACTTTATTTATAAATCACTTAAAACAGCAACAAGGCCAACCAAAGTGCTGTATAGCAGAAAAAAAAAACAAGCAAAGGACACAGGATAAAATACATAGGTCAAAATAGATAAAGATAATAACTAAATGACTAACATTGTAGAGACAAGTTAAAACAAAGTCACACATTGTCAAAAGCCAGGGAGTAAAAGTGTGTTTTTAAATGTGACTTAAAAACAGTGAGAGTGGGAGCCTGCCTGACATGTCATTCCACAGTCTTGAACCTGCAACAGAGAAAGCTCTGCCACCTCTGAGCTTACGACGAGTGCCTGGAACCACTAGGAGCATCTGATCTGCTGACCTCAGAGAGCGCTGTGGGACATATGGCTGCAGCAGATCAGCGAGATAAGAGGGGGCAGAACTGTTCAGAGATTTAAAAACATACAGGCAGGGCACAGAGGACGTGATCACGACAGAAGTATTTTAAAATGAATTTGAAAATGAACCAGAGCTATATAAATATACTGACTTGACTTGACTTGAATTGAATTACACGTATATGGGGAGAAATTTGTGCTGGCTTGAAACTGTCCGTGATCTTACAGGGTGAGCCAGGCTCAGCTGTATCTGGAGGGGGTCTTCCAGGAAGGAAAGGAGAACCAGGCATCCCAGGAATACCGGTACAATACAAATTAATGAGCAACACTGGCACAATATGTACATTTGGAAAGAAAAGAATAGGTGACATTTGCATAATTCTGCAATGCATGCATTCAGGGTACTCCAGGTCGACCAGGCAGTGACGGGGCCAAAGGATCTCACGGAGTTTCAGGGACACCAGGTCAGGATGGTCGCCCAGGCATACCGGGAGCTCCGGGAGTTTCCATCAAGGTTTGTCACCAATGCACGCAGTTTTTTAATTAATGATATTGACAACATATCTGCTATTTGTCCAACCTGTAGCTGAACTATTCTTATTTATAAACATGCAAAATATAGACAATGACTTAAAATACAATTAGTCTTTTTTTTTCTCAAACTAAACTCTGCTGCTGTGTAAGAAGAACGCACAAATAAAACAATATTTAATACTTTCAAATGCATAGCAACAGTTACATTATATTACAATAAATTGTATATTTCATGGGCAGGTTTACATGTGCTGATGGTAATTGCATGTTCCCACTGTAGGGTTTTAATTTGGGCTCAAATAAAGATTCTTAATTTTGTCCTTAGGATGAACGTGTTACTGTCAGATTTACGCACATGGTGGTAGCACTGAGCTGTCTCTGCATTTTCAGTGAAGGTTCACCAGCTCTTATAAATTAGAGTAATTTTTTTGTTTGTTTATTTAAGGACTTAGATGGGTCTGATAAAGATTAACTGTGCTTAAAATATACATCACAAAGATAAAACTCTTATGTGCAACATGTTTTTTATGTAACTTTTTCCTTGCCCATATAACAACATTTTATCTTTTTGTTGTTTTTAGGTCGTAAAATCTTAATTGTATACTTGAAATCAATACTGAGGGTATTTTAGTGCATGCACTTTCTTATAATTAATCTATTTGTAGTGCAAATTATGATATTTAGTCTGTTTGCCACTAACACAACTGCACAAAACATTTTGTTGTGTGCAATAATTACAGAAAGGTGGCTGATGTCCATCATCAACTATCCTGCTCTGATTTCATGTTTGTTGTTTTGCATGTTGTAAAATTCAGCTAGTGAAAGGATGCACACCATGCTCCCATTTTCAAGATTCAAGTTTCTTTTACCAGGGTGTAATAATGAACAAACCAAACAAGGAGCAATTAAAGTAATTAATAGGAGTGAAAATATGAAAATAAATAAACAAAGGTACTAGTGCAGTTGTCACAATGTTCATACTAAAGTGTCAGTGGCCAGCTTTGATTCAGAAAAAATATCCAGATCTATATCCGTCCTTATCGCTCCTTTTGCAGCTGAATTTTTTAGAAGGTTCTCTTCTAGTCAAGAGTTTTTCTCATGCTGCACAGTGAGACGCAGTCTTCTTTGATGAGAGTCTGCAGACTATGCACAACTGCACACAAGGCCAATGGAGCTCAGGCTAACACAGCAAACCAATAAAAAATACACACACTGAACAAAAATATAAATGCAACACTTGTTTTGGCTCTCATGAGCTGAACTCAAAGATCTAAGACTTTTCAGATGTACATAAAAGGTGATTTTCTCTCAAATATTATGCACAAATTTGTGCAAATCTGTGTTAGTGAGCACTTCTCTATAACCCATCCATCTCACAGGTGTGGCATATGAAGATAGTGATTCGACAGCACGATTGCTGCATAGGTGCGCCTTAGGCTGACCACAATAAAAGGCCGCAGTTTTATCACAGCACAATGACACAGATGTTCCAAGTTTTGATGGAGCGCAGCAAAGTCCACCAGAAACGTTGCCCGTGAATTGAATGTTCATTTCTCCACCGTAAGCCATCTCCAAAGGCATTTCAGAGAATTTGGCACAGCATCCAACCGGCCTCATGAAAGTTCATGTAAAATGTTAACAAAAACAAAAGTCCTTTATTGTCCAAAGTTCAAAGACCAGTATTGGATTTTGTACCTGGATGACTGAGCATGAACTTTGATGTCTTGAACCATTTTGGCTGTGGCTGCCTGCCTGGGAGTAGTCGACAGGGGGACAGGATAGACCCCAAACCATCTTATCACCAGCAAACTGGTTGGTCCACTAAAAGAGTGTACTGCTTAGTGGCAAAAACAGTTTACTTGGGACTCCTCAGACTGATGAAGCCCTCTGGATATTGGGCGAAATGTCTTTCCACAAAAAATGAAACTGTCCAGATGACTTGAGTGACCATTATTGGATTTTGTACTTGGATGATTGAGCATGAACTTTAATGACAAAAACAAAAGTGTTTATATTTTTGTTCAGTGTATGTTTGCTTGGGGCAGCACAGTGGCACAACTGGTAGAGCTGCTGCCTCTCAGCGAGGTTATCCTGGTTCAAATCCAGGTCCGGGGGCCTTTCTGGGTGGAGTTTGCATGTTCTCTCCGTGCATGCGTGGGTTTTCTCTGGGTACTCTGGTTTCCTCCCACAGACCAAAAACATGCATGTTAGGCTGATTGGTAACTCTGAATTGTCCCTAGGTGTGAGTGAGAGAGTGAATGGTTGTTTGTCTCTATGTGTCCCTGTGATGGACTGGGGACCTGTCCAGGGTGTCCCCCGCCTCTCGCAAAATGATGGATGGACATGGGCACCAGCGACCCCTACGACCCAAAACGGAAGAAGTGGGTAAAGATAATGGATGGATGGATTTGTTTGCTTGTTCTCTGTTCAGTTATGAATAGCTACTGATCCCTTGTTATTTATTTATTTATTATTAACCTTTATTTAACCAGGCAAATCCCACTGAGATCACAGATCTCTTTCGCAAGGGAAGCCTGGGCCTGAAGGCAATCTAACATTCATGTGGACTGTGGGAGGAAACCGAAGTATCCAGACACACACACAACGCCCCCCCCCCCCCCCCCCCCCCAAAAAAAAAAAAAAAAAAAACAGGAGGAGAACATGCAAACTCCACAAAAAAGACCCCAGGTCTAAACCAGGGATTGAAACATGGACCTTCTTGCTGTGAGACAACAGTGCTCACTACATATTAGGCTGATTGGTAACTCTAAATTGTCCCTAGATGTGAGTGAGAATGTCAACAGCCAGTTGGACTGCTGATCTGTCAGTCACAATTATATTCCAAGTTCTCTGTCAGTTTAGGTTCAAAACTAAACTGCCTTATTGGTCCATTTTTCAACTTTTGTTTTTAGAGGCTTACGTGAGCATTGGTTCCTAATTTATTTTGAATGATGAGAGCAATTATTTCTTTTAAACCTACCTTTAATAATTCAGTCCTGGTCCCCTGGATCCTCTGCTCTTCATGCTTGTGATGATTTCCTGCCCTAACATGCTTGATTAAATTATCTGGCCATTTAACAGCTTGCGCAGAGCTTGATGACAAGCTGATGAAAACGGTCATTTACATTAAGTGTGTTGGATTTGAAACATGACTAAACTGTGCAGGACAGTGGGCTCCAAGGTTCAAGATTTGAAACAACTTTGCTAATATGCTCATTATGTATTTCATAACCTTCAGGGTTTTTAACTCCTGTAAACATGGGAAAACCAATTATTATTAAAGAACAGGTTTGATTTCTGAGTTGACTTCATCTTTTAAACATTTAAACAGGTACAACTATGTTTCATCAGGTCTTCATGTGTTCATGTGAGATTCTTGAAATGATGTAAAAAGAAGACGGTTCCAATCTAATGTCTGTCTGAGTGTGGGTTGTTCTCACTTGTCTCATATGAGGTTTTTTTTTTTTTTTTATTCCTCTTGTCCGTTTTTCATCAAGACTCACTCTGCTTCTTTCTTCCCCACAGGGGGATAAGGGCAGTCCAGGAGAGAGGGTGAGCCACATCATCACCAACTTGTCCTCTCTGTGCGCTCATGGAGCTCACGAGCGTAATGATTTTAGCTCTCATCTGTCTTTGCTGACAGGGACCTTCGGGAGTGGGAAGTGGGGTGGCTGTGAAGGGCGAGAGGGGCTCCCCTGTAAGTGCCTGCAGTCACCAACGATGTGCTGACATGTTTTATTTAACTACTGAACAAGTTTGTGTACAGCAGGGGTAAATTTAGCATTTACTAATAATGCTATTGTTATTATTATTATCAGGGAATTCCAGGAACTCCAGGAACATCAGGCGCTAGAGGGCCACTGGGACCTCAGGGCAGCAAAGGAGAAAAAGTATCTGCAAAATGATTTGATTACAGAATGCCCGAGCAACATAAAATGTCTGTTTTAAGTAACAAGTAGTTGTTGGTTTCAGGGTGATGAAGGTGCTGGACTGCCTGGACCTCCAGGAAAGCAAGGAGAACCTGGGGACCGGGTACGTTGACCACATGGCAGATTGTAAAGGATTCCTGATGGGACTTTTTGATGATCCACTTATCCTGTTAAAGCACAGTTCAGCCTTTCAAGGATGCACAATGCAAACTTTATTTCTAGTGGTACCTCTGTTTGGATCAATGATGAGCAGTAATTCGGCCTGACCAGGTTCAGAAGCAGTTTTTTTGATTCATCATCATCATCTAGTAGCTCCGTCGGGCTAAAGGCTGATATATGTACCACGGCATCAAACATGTGATCCAGTCTGAGCACCTAACTTAGCAAGATTAAGACCCAGGGTGCCTGGTTGGGTTTTGATGGGAGCATGTTTCTAATGTTTTAGGGTCTGCGTGGGCCTGCAGGTGAACTTGGCAGCAAGGTAAGACACAGGTAAGAATAACAATTTCTGATGCAAGCTGGAAAAATAAAAACAATGATTTCTGGTACTGTCTTTGTCTGGGCAGGGTGACCGAGGTCAGCCGGGTGAGCCTGGGACTCGAGGAGACAGGGTGAGTAATTTTACATGAGCGAGTCGAGTTAGTGCACGTCTGCGTGCATGCATGCACAAGTGTCTGCTGCACAATGACTGTGGTCCTATTCACAAACACAGAAGCAGGTTTAATTATTGTTTACAGAAAGCAGAGGAGTCGTGAAGGGGAAATTAAATTAAAAGACTCAAACAGTTTTTATCTATTTGTGCTTTTAATATTTTTTTCAAAAGCTTGATGAGCCTGAGGAAAAGGGTCAGAATTAGATAAAGGACTTTTCATTCAGATTAATTGCAGACGTGAACTTCAACATGAATCACATTTTTACTCATTTTATAACAATTGTATTATTTACACTGATAAACAGGGTTTAAATTATATTTAAAAAAATACCAGAATGACTGGAGAGATTTTATAAAAACTCTCAGAAAGTAATCATTGAATATAGACAGCTCATTAACTTTTGCCGTCAACTCAATTGAAGATGGCCGACACAGCTAAACAATCTTATAAAACACCAACATCACTAGAACTGTCTTGTATGTAGCGATGGACACATGATGCTGAGGCTGCGGAGCTTGTGTCACTTCTCCTGAAGCAGTGATTCATGACCCCGTGTCGGAGCTTGAATCGAACACCACCGTCGAAATGACGCTCGAGGCTTCGGACGTCATCGCTGCTTCATTTCGCTCTTCACTGGCTCAGAAAGTTTCACTGCGTTCTGAGCCAATCACAGTTTTACAGGTTCAAACGCTTTTGGTGCTACACAAGCTATTTAGGACACGTCATTATTCTTAAAGAAAAACGATGGTTTGTAAGAAGATAAAGTTTTGGAAAGTAAATTAAGTATAGTTTGGTGATATTCAGTAAACTGAGTTCAAAGGTTTGGGATCAATTTGATCATATTCCAACAAGTAAGTTTTAGTGTTTCCTACCTACAATTTGTGTTTTGATGATTTAATTGGTGGCGCAGGTGGTAGAGCTGCTGCCTTGCCCTGGTTCAAATCTTGGCTGGGGACCTTTCTGGGTGGAGTTTGCATGTTCTCTCCGTGCATGCGTGGGTTCTCTCCGGGTACTCTGGTTTCCTCCGACAGACCAAAAACATGCATGTTGGGCTGATTGGTAACTCTAAATTGTCCCTAGGTGTGAATGAGAGAGCAAATGGTCATCTTGTTTGTCTCTATGTGTCCCTGTGATGGACTGGAGACTTGTCCAGGGTGTCCCCCACCTCTCGCACAGTGATAGCTAGACATGGGCCCCAGTGACCCCTGCGGCCCGAAAAGGAAGAAACGGGTAAAGATAATGGATGGATGGATAATTGTATTTTCTTTTTAAAATAGGTCACAGTTACTGTATTACAACTTGTAGTTGTTTGCTCTGCACACACGAGTTGTCTTGCAGTAACGCTCGTGAGGTTGCAGTGACGCCAGTTGTCCACCAGGTGTCTCTGTCATGGACGCTTTGAAGCTTCACGTCTTTATATCCAGGAACATTCATATATATAATAATAATAATAATAATGTCATCACAATGTCAGCACTGTATGTTTCCATACAATGGCGAAATTAGTCTCTGCATTTAACCCATCCACCACCAGGTGGTGCAGT